AAATACCCCCTAATAACTCTTAAATACCCCTCAAACTCCTCCAACACCTCCCAAAAACACCTCCAGCAGCCCTAAAAACCCCCGAAGACCCCCAAAACCTCTCCAACACCCCCCAAAACATCTCAAGCAGCCCCTAAACTCCCATTTCCAGAGCCCCAAATCGCTCCAACACCCCCAGATCGCCCTTGGTCCACCCACCGTCTCCTCGAAGGAGCACTTCATGAGGGGCCCGGTGTCCTGGCGGTTGACGCCGTGGCGGGTGATGGCCATGAGGTGCCCACGGGAGGTCATGGTGTCACACAGCAGGGCCAGGTGACGGTAGTTGACGTAGGAACCGTCGAAGGAGATGACGTGGTACAGCTCCCGCTCCAGCGCTTTCCGCACCGCCTCGATCCCCAGCACCTGCGGGACAGGCGGACAGCGATGGTTGTTGGGGATACAGGCGTTGGGGATCCCCATCACCCAAGAGAACCAGGTCTCCATGGACCCAAGGATCCTGGAACCCCACCACTCAGGGGACCCAAAAACCATGGGGACCCCCATCTGGGAACCCCACCACCCAAGGACCCAGGTCTCCAAGGACTCAATGACCCAGGCGTTTGGGAACCCCACCACCCAAGGGACCCAAGTCTCCATGGACCCAAGGACCCATTGGGGAGACCCCATCACCCAAGGGACCCAGAAACAATGGGGACACCCATCTGGGAACCCCACCACTCAAGGAGCCAGGTCTCCAGGCACCCAAGGACCCATTGGGGAACCCCACTACCCAAGAGACCCAAAAACCATGGGGACACCCATCTGGGCACCCCAGCACCCAAGGGACCCAAGTCTCCAGGCACCCAAGGACCCATTGGGGAACCCCATCACCCAAGGGACCCAGAAACCATGGGGACACCCATCTGGGAACCCCACCACCCAAGGACCCAATGACCCAGGCATTTGGGAACCCCACCACCCAAGGGACCCAGGTCTTCAAGAGCCCAAGGACCCATTGGGGAGACCCAATCACCCAAGGGACCCAGAAACCATGGGGACACCCATCTGGGAACCCCAGCACCCAAGGACCCAGGTCTCCATGGACCCAAGGACCTACTGGGGAGACCCCATCACCCAAGGGACCCAGAAACCACGGAGACACCCAACTGGGCACCCCGCCACCTGACTCACGGTGAAGATCTCCACGATGTCATTGGAGGTGGTGCGGACGGGGTCCACGTCCTTCTCGCTCAACACCCTCATGAGGCTGACGCCGTCGGTCTCCAGGATCCACTCCTGAAGGGCTTTGAACTCCCCGTCCTCCGTGATGATGATCCTCTTCTTGTTGTCTGTCTGCGGGAGGTGCATGTACACCTGGAGGGGGAAGGAGGAGAGGGGATCAGCAGCACCCATGGGTGCTCCTTGGGTGGGTGGGGGGACGCCCCGGGCAGCCATGGACCTTCCAATGCATCCCTAAGTATCACCATGGGCATCCTGGACCACTTAGGGGTCTCCATGGAGACTTCCACGTGCTCCTCAAGACCCACCAGGAAGCCCTGGCACCCACATGAGCACCCATGGGTGCTGCTTGTGCACCCAGGGGGATGCTATGGGCAACCATGGACCTTCTTGGGTGCCTGCAGGTGTCATTTGAGGCATCCTGGACCACTTAGAGGTCTCCATAGAGAACTTCCAAGTGGTCTTCAAGACCCACCAGGAGCCCTGGCACCCACATGAGCACCCATGGGTGCTACCTGGGCACCCAGGGGAACACTAGGGGCAGCCATGGACCTTCTTGGGTGCCTGCAGGTGTCATTTGGGGCATCCTGGACCACTTAGAGGTCTCCATAGAGAACTTCCAAGTGGTCTTCAAGACCCACCAGGAGCCCTGGCACCCACAGGCACCCAGGGGAACACTAGGGGCAGCCATGGACCTTCTTGGGTGCCTGCAGGTGTCATTTGGGGCATCCTGGACCACTTAGAGGTCTCCATAGAGAACTTCCAAGTGGTCTTCAAGACCCACCAGGAGCCCTGGCACCCACATGAGCACCCATGGGTGCTACTTGGGCACTTATGGGTACACTACAGGCAACCATGGACCTTCTTGGGTGCCTGCAGGTGTCATTTGGGGCATCCTGGACCTCCTAAAAGGCTTCATGGAGACCTCCACATGCTCCTCAAGACCCACCAGGAGCCCTGGCACCCACATGAGCACCCATGGGTGCTGCTTGGGCACCCAGGGGAACACTAGGGGCAGCCATGGACCTTCTTGGGTGCCTGCAGGTGTCATTTGGGGCATCCTGGACCACTTAGAGGTCTCCATAGAGAACTTCCAAGTGGTCTTCAAGACCCACCAGGAGCCCTGGCACCCACATGAGCACCCATGGGTGCTGCTTGGGCACCCAGGGGAACACTAGGGGCAGCCATGGACCTTCTTGGGTGCCTGCAGGTGTCATTTGGGGCATCCTGGACCACTTAGAGGTCTCCATAGAGAACTTCCAAGTGGTCTTCAAGACCCACCAGGAGCCCTGGCACCCACATGAGCACCCATGGGTGCTGCTTGGGCACCCAGGGGAACACTAGGGGCAGCCATGGACCTTCTTGGGTGCCTGCAGGTGTCATTTGGGGCATCCTGGACCTCCTAAAAGGCTTCATGGAGACCTCCACGTGCTCCTGAACACCCACCAGTAGCCCCAGCACCCATGGGTGCCCCCCACCTTGCTGATCTGCTCGATGCCCTGCAGGGTCATGTCCGTCAGCATGTTGGACTCGATGCAACGCAAGAAGACGTCGTCATCCATCTTATCCACCACCTCTTCCTCCTGGGGACAACCGAAGAAGACAGGGGGGGGACAGCGGGGTGACACCCAACCCCATGAGGCGTCCCCCTCACCCACCGCCACCCATGGGTGCCCCTCTCCGTGTCCCCACCTCCTGCATCTTGTTCTCGTCGCTGTTCATGATGCGGATGCGCAGCACCAGCTTCTCGGCGTTGTCGTCGTTGAAGATGCAGTTGAGGTCGTCCCCAAAACCTTTTTTGGGTGGGGGGGGATATGGGGGTGACACCCTGGTCCTAGGACCCTCCCCAAAGCTTCTCCCCCACCCCAAGACACCCCAAGGGCCCTCCAGGCTCAACCCAAAGGTCATTGTGGAGCGTGGTGGGTCAGCCAAGACCCCTAAGTCTTCCCCAGGATCCCCCAAGTCCTCCCCAGGACCCCCCAAAGGTCCCTAAAGTCCCCCCAGATGCCCTCAAGGGTCACCCAGGACCCCCCAAAGCCCCCCCCAGACCCACCAGCGTTGATCTTCAAGGAGATGCACTCCATAGACAGCCCCCAGGCTCCTCCAGGACCCCCCAAAGGTCCCTAAAGTCCCCCCAGATGCCCTCAAGGCTCACCCAGGACCCTCCAAGCTCCTCTAGGACCCCCAAAAGGTCCCCAAAGGCCACCCAGATGCCCTCAATGATCACCCAGGAGACCCCCCAACTCCCTCCAAATGACCTCAAGGTTCATTGAGGACCCCCCAAAAGCTCCCCAGATGCCCTCAAGGCTCACCCAGGACCCCCCAAGCTCCTTCAGGACCCCCCAAAGGTCCCCAAAAGCTCCCCAGAAGCCCTCAAGGCTCACTCAGAACCCCCCAGGCTCCTCTAGGACCCCCCAAAGGTCCCCGAAGCTCCCCAAGATGCCCTCAAGGCTCACCCAGAACTCCCCAGGCTCCTTCAGGACCCCCCAAAGGTCCCCAAA